AGCCTAACCATGACCTTTTTCCATAACCTAACCATTACCAGTACATAGCTAACCCTAAACCTAACACATCCTCAATTCACACCTTAGGCCTAAACCTAGCCCCTAACCCACCAACGGGACTTCTTCTTATGGGGCCCGGGCTTTGGGCCCCATAAGGAGCAGTTGGTCCTCACAATGCAGTATAAGTTGGAAAAATGGGCCTCACAAAGTAGCATAAACAAGGACACACACACACACACACCACACATATATACATGTCTAAATAAAGGTTGAATGAATATATACATACATATAATTTAAAAAAAATTCAACTTGTTGAAGCGTTTTGTCTTTTGTCTAAGACTCTGATGAGTTGCCAGTTGTTGACATCCAGAACTATCTGTACACATGTTAAATGAGCTTATTTTCCATTTACAAGTTTTCCTAAAAAGCAAAACAAAAAAAATTGTTTTGAATAATTTCGCTCCTTGCTTCTTTCTGTAGTGTATAAATGTTCCTTTGATTCTTCTCTTTTCATTATTGTTCATACTTCTGACAAGTTTGTGAACATGTGAATTATTGCTGCAAACATGGTTTTTCTAGCACCATATATTTAGGCATACCGTTAAACGTTAACAAATTATCAGCATTTTCACTTCTTCTCACCTTCTGACCTACAAATTCAAGTTTCTTTATTGTCATTTGCATCACAGAAAGGAAACAAAATTGTGCACTCAAGGTCCAAGTTACATCCAAATATAATTAATAGATTAAATTAATCAAAAATAATTATAATTAATTAATAATAAATTAATAAATAAATTCATTTCAGTTTATCCTGATGCATGCTCAATAATCCAGGTAGAAAAATCTAAAAAGTTAAGTCTGATCCTCGGGACTTTCAAAACAACAAAAATGTAGAAACATTTAGTCTCTCATCCAAGAGACTTCCTCAGTCTGAGGAGCTGTATTCAGCTCAGTCTCTTAAATAGCACCTTCTCAGAGTGGATCAACCAGTTTGCTGCTGACAACCAAAACCAGCTGATCACATGATCTAGAAGGACCATCAGCAGATTTCTCCTTCTGCCTGGCTCCTGAGTTAGTTAATCCCACACAAAACAGGCTCTAGAGCAATGTTGATACCCTAACTGGGCCTTCCTGAAAGCAGAGAAGAAACCCAAACAGGACTCCAGTCAGCCAACAGGTGAAAAGGAGGAACCCAGACCCAGACCAGTGGTCATTCCGTATGTTGAGGGAGTATCAGAGAAACTGAGACGTTTATTTTCTAAACATAACGTCCCAGTTGCTTTTAAACCCCAAAATACATTACGGCAAAGACTGGTTCATCCCAAAGATCCAGTCCCCCGGCACAAACAGAGTAATGTTGTGTGTGCTGTTCAGTGTCAGGATGGTGAACAGTCTTACATCGGGGAAACAAAACAGCCACTGGCCAAAAGGATGGCCCAGCACAGAAGATCAACATCATCAGGCCAGGACTCTGCGGTCTACACTCATCTCCAGGCCAGCGGTCACTCTTTCAGGGATGAAGATGTTCACATCCTGGACAGAGAGGCACGATGGTTTGAGAGAGGAGTAAAGGAGGCCATCTTTGTGAAAAGAAACCGTCCATCGTTAAACAGGGGTGGAGGCCTCCGGGTTCAACTGTCCCCCTCTTACAATGCTGTTATTGCTAGTATCACTCAGCCCTCTGTGAACAGTAAACAGCCATCAGTGTGCTAATGATCCATTGTTAGGCTGATGGTCCTTCTTGATCATATGAGCAGCTGGTTTTGGTTGTCAGCAGCAAACTGGTTGATCCACTGAGACGGTGCTATTTAAGAGACTGAGCTGAAAACAGCACCTCAGACTGAGGAAGTCTCTCGGATGAAAGACGAAACGTTCCTACTTTTATTTTTGCTTTGTTTTGTGCATGTCCGAAGGACCAGATTTAACCTTTTTAGATCATTTCAGTTTATTTCTATAGCGCCAAGTCACAACAGAAGTTATCTCAGGGCACTGAACAGAAACATTCATAATTTAACATTATCTGAGGAGCAGACTGCTTTGAGCTTAACTCCATCACAGACTCTCATCTGGAGCGAACGTGACGCTGTTGAACCCAGCCGGTCGAAACAGATGGCCGCTCGTCCTGAGCCTGGTTCTTCTGGAGGTTTCTTCCTGTTAAAAGGGAGTTTTTCCTTTCCACTGTTGCCTTCGTGCTTACTCAGGAAGGGAGACTGCGACAAAATGATGACTCAGCACAATCTGCTGTCTACCCTACCGTCGATAAATAATGTAACTAACTGAATTTGTATGTACCGGTTATATGAATGTTTCTGTTCAGTGCCCTGAGATGACTTCCGTTGTGACTTGGTGCTATAGAAATAAACTGAATTGAATGAGTTACTATAAAGTGAGGTTGCTTACTTTAAACAATACATAGTTTGTACTTTTTTTTTAAATTTAGATTAAATCATACAATAAAGTTGACAGCTCATCAGAAACAGAAAACCCCCATAAATGAAAGCTAAAATAAAGGAATCATTCGGGCTAAAACTGGTTTTCATGATCATTAAAACTCGAACTCTTATTTGTAAAGTACTTTCTAATATTTTATTGAAATTATTTGTTTATTTAAGGATCCCCATTAGTTTCTACCGTAGTAGAGACTATTCTTCCTGGGGTCCACACAGTTTTAACAACGGAAAGACAAAAAAAACGTTCAGTGATGTCCTTTGGTCTCGGGGAGATCAGGAATAACTTCACCAGTTTCCCAAATGATGTCACCCTGGAAACACACACACATTTCAAACACCTGGTGTCAACGGCCAGTTTCACATCGTTTTAGTACAGAAAGCAGCAGAAATCTGACAGAAATAAATCAAACTTACTGGTAAAAGTCGGCGTTTCCGCTCCACAATGCCACACGGTTTGTTCTGTAGGGAACAACAGTTTTTATTTACAATGACTGCTGGTCCTCAGATTTAATCTCTAAACAGAGTACTGTTTACTGTTAACTTAGTTCACTGAATGAAAATGTTCCTGCTTCTTTGTTAGTGACGGTGTCGTTGCTATACACTTCCTAAAAAACAAAACTGTAATAAAAACAAATACTACCAAGTAAGGACTTCATCCAACAAGCCCATTTACTTTATTTGCTCTGACAAGAACCTAAAATCAAAAAGACGAGTGGATATAATGCGGATCGCGAAAAACAAAGAATCAAAAAAGTTTGAAAGCGTCGCTGAGTGAGAGCGGCTGCTTCCCGGCAGAAAGAAAGAAAATAAAGCCAAGTTTTCATGAATCTACTCAAATAAGACAAAAAGATGTGCAGCAACAACTGCAACAAAACAAATTTTTTCAAGTTTTTTTTTACTACAAAACAAAAATGCAAGTGTTCAAAGTCATGGATAGTTCACGTGTGTTCAACCTTCTGTACACTTACAAGAACATGATATTTCACGAAGTAATGAGAGATCCAGGCCGGTATCAGCACCCAGGTTAATGTGAACACTCCACCACGGTACACTTTGTAGGTCTGCAAGAAAACAGTCATGTATCAATCGTCAAACGCCCAACAAACCCAGACGTCGGTCTGTTCTCAACTGGGCCCCAGAGGTTCTGAGAGTGATGAAGAGAACAGTTTAGATTGTTTGCTGCTTTAAATCAGCCGCCTGTTGTTTTATTAATGATTCAAACATCTCGAACGTGAACCCTGACCTCAGCTTCTCTCTGTTTTTGACTCGATATCATGGTTTTATTGCTTCCTCTTAAAAGGTTCCACATCATCTACATTACTTTTATTTAAATAATCTTTAAGAATAATTTTTCCTACACTATCCAAAACTTATGATAAAACACAGAGCAGACCCAAACTCATGGGATTAACGTCAACACACTTCTCATAGAATAAAAACTTTTATATCCATGTTTAAGATTTAATTTACTTTGCTCTGGGTTTTGGTTCAAATAAAGCTCAATACTTTTGTGGGTTTGATGCAATGGGCTTATTTTGAAACATATTATTAAATGTAAATACATTTAAATATTTGAACTTGTTTTGACACACTGGGCTCTGCAGCAGGTAAGACATTTATTTTAGATTAAAGCGTTTACATTTGGATCCAGGCGGAACATGAGATGTAACACCATAACTACAATGTATTCAGCTCTTGTTTTTGTCTCAGTACTCACATACAGCCGCCACAGGCTCTTCGGCTCCAGGAAGCGTGTCCAGAACTTCTGGATCGGATTCGGAGGTTTGTACGGGATCACGGGCTCCCGGGCACTGAGCTCCTGGTCCTTCAGCCACCTCCTCCGGAGTTTCACCAGCTGCTCGAAGCGCAGCTTCTCGTCCGGTGTGTAGCCAGACATGTTTGTCTGTAGACAAAATACTCGTGGACAGATCTGCAATGACACGGCCGAGGACACTAACCAAACAGGAAGTAGGAGCGGAAGAAACGAGACGCGTTGAAACAGGCGGACAAACTTTACTGCGACACCTAGTGGTTAGTAATATGTACTGCAGGACGGCGACACCTAGTGGTTAGTAATATGTACTGCAGGACGGCGAGGAACTAACAGGACGCTGCTTAAAGTACAGAAAAATGACTAGGTTGGTTAGGGACAGACAGACAGACATCATATAGATGTTAGTCGTGTCAAGTTTTTATTAAAGGTACTTTCTGCAAAGTCATAATCAGAGTCAGAGATTCTTTATTGTCATTCGCATCTCATGTGGTACATGTGGTGGAGCGAAATGATGTACACAGGGTCCCAGTTACATCCAACAATAAAATGTTTAAGAAAAAACAATGATAACATCTAAGATATGAACTAAGAAAAACATAAACTAAAATACACTAAGTACTAATAGCATAAAAACATTACGTCGAACAGCAGCACGAACATGAGCATGAGTCTGTGTGAGCAGACGAGCACGCATGAACACATCAACATGAAACAGATCAGCAGCAACATGATGTGATTTTTCACAGTGATTATTCTGGTTAGATTATTCTGGTTATTCTGGTTACATTAAGGCCTGGATGGCTTCAAATTTCTTAAGTTTTAACAATGAGAAGACTGAAGTCATTGTCTTTAGCCCTAGCTCAACTGCTGCCTCTGATCCTGTCAACCTGGACTCTCTTCAGCCATATCTCAAGCAGTCTGGTAAAAACCTCTGGATGGTTTAGACTCTGACTTCAAGTTTGACAAACAAATCAACTCTGTTCTGCAGAAAATCTTCTTCCAACTCAGACAGGTAGCTAAGCTCAAGCCAGTGTTGTCCAGACCCGACCTTGAGAAACTAGTCCATGCCTTTGTCACGACCCGATTGGACTATTGCAACGCACTGTATGCTGGGATCAGCCAGGCCTCCATCTCACGTCTTCAGCTCGTCCAGAATGCTGCTGCTCGGCTTTTAACCAGAACTCATAGGTCTGAACATATTACACCAGTTCTGTCCTCCCTTCACTGGCTCCCTGTTCATACGAGGATAATCTTTAAAATTCTTCTGTTGACCTTCAAATGCTTAACTGGCCTCGCACCCCTTTACCTCTCTGAGCTTCTGGAACCTTACGTTCCCTCTCGGACCCTGAGATCATCCGATCAGCTGCTTTTGGCTGTTCCAAGAACAAGACTGAAGCTCAGAGGAGATCGGGCTTTTTCAGTCATGGGCCCCAAACTCTGGAACAACCTGCCCCCCAACATCAGGCAGGCCTCCTCCCTTCCTCACTTCAAATCTCTACTAAAAACACATCTGTTCTCACAGACATTTCACACACTGTAAACTGATTTAGTGTTTTTTGTTCTGTGATCTTATGTTTTAAATGCTTTTTATTAATTCTTCAGTTATTGTTATTAGTGTATTGTATTTTTCTCTTTAATTTTACTCTCATTGATTGTTGTTGTTGTTAAGCACTTTGATAACAGGTTCTGTTTTAAATGTGCTCTATAAATAAAGTTGACTTGACTTGACTAGAGATTCATGAGTCTAACAGCCTCAGGGTAGAAGCTGTTCCTCAGTTTAGTGGTTATACACTTAATGCCACTTACCTCCTTAATACCTCCTTCCTGAAGGGAGCGGGGCAAAAAGTGTGTGTGCTGGGTGAGTGTGGTCCTTCATGATGCAGGTGGCCCTCTTCCTGCATCTGGAGGTGTAGATGTCTGTGATGGTGGGGAGACGGACTCCAACAGACTTCTGTGCTTAAGTGACGACAATGACAATGATAATGGCAGGTCAAATAAAAAAAGAAAAAGTTAAAAATAAAATAAAGTATGAAACACTATAATGCAATATAGGGTTAATTCATCCATCATCTTTACCCATGTTTCCCTTTTTGGGTCGCGGGCGTCAGCGCCATAGAGAGAGATAGTTTATAGGGCTCTGGCGGGGGTCATTGGTGCCATATCCAGCAGTCACTGTGTGAGAAGTGGGGGACACCTGGACATGTCTCCAGTCCAACACAGAGACACATAGAGACAAACGAGACAAACAGCCATTCACTCTCTCACTCACACCTAGAGACAATTTAGAGTTACCAGTCAGCCTAACATGCATGTTTTTGGTCTGTAGGAGGAAACCAGAGCACCCGGAGAAAACTCACACATGCACAGAGAGAACATGCAAACTCCACACAGAAAGACCCTGCGCCAGGATATGAACTGGTGAACTGCTCCCTGAGATGCAGCAGCCCTACCAACTGTGCCACCGTGCCGCCCAAGTGATGGTTAATGTGTCCTTACATTAAAAAATTGCGACCAGATGCCAATTACTTTGTTTGTTTTCTTTGGTTAACTACGGAAACAGCTGAAGCGACTGTAAATAACAACGGTGAGGCCCACGGACAAGCCTTTAGAGACATAGTGCTGGTATATGTTCAGAGTTGTTGTACAGATGAAAACATCGGTTAAGTTGGTCTAACAAACACCAACAGAAATAGAAAGTCAGCATTTTATCTTTAAAAGTGACACCTCCTGGTTCATTAAGCCAAGAAAAGGAAAAGGAAACAAGAGAAAGTCTTTGAAGGAGTCATTGGTTGTTTGTGACATGGGTCGACATACAGCAGAAACTCAAGGATGATCCTGTGTCAGTTCTTTTCTCTATTTTTGTTTCTTTCTAAAGACACAGCTTTCAGTTACTGTCAACCTGCTGGAGTTTTAATTGCTTCACCCTCACACTTCTTTTAGTCCTCCACATTGTAAAGCCCAAATAAATAGTGTAACTTATTATTTTTATATATGGATGTTTCTGTTCAGCGCCCTGAGATAACGTCTGTTGTGACTTAGCACTGTATAAATAAACTGAATTGATTTTAATTAAAGCTGTCATTGTCACTTGCAAAGATAAAAAAACAGACTCCATGGAAGCAAACATAAAAAAATTAGGAGTGTTTAAAACTTTTAGACAGCACTGCATCTTGAATATGACATCAGTATTCAAATAAATGTTAAATTATTGTTTTATGAAACTTGAAAAAAAAATTAAATAGCTGCCATTAAAAAAAATTACAGAACATTTAACTAATTTTTTAAAAAGTCCGAAACCTTTACTTTGAAATGTCAACCGGAAGTAGCATTATTCTGACAGGAACCTTGATGACAGGAAGATGGCCGCGGTGCGGCTGGTCTTAGCGTCATGTATGGAATTAGCTAACGTTATGTAAAGTGCTGGCTCGAAGCTCAACAAACATCACGTTCCCGGATGTTCGGCCCACTGGACCTGCACTAGAACCTCATGAAGGTAAAGACCTGGAGAGTCCGGTCCAGAAGTTCAGTAACCTCCACCAGCGGCTAGTCGGCTAACGGCGTTAGCCTATTAGCATCGGGCAGTGCGTGTTCAAAGACGCTGGACGTTTTTATTAAACAAAATTTGTAAAAAATAAAATAAATGCGGTTATTCCGCTCAATAAATGAAGAAACACTGATGTGCATTTATTATTAATAGTGTCAAACTAGAGGTTAAAGTGTTTAATGTTCTACTAAACAATGAGACTAACTTGTATAAATAAAGACTGAATTGAATATGTTCATCAGCTGTTTGTCACTTAATATCAGATAAAGGATAAATCTTGTAAGAAGTCATAAATGGTACATTATTGTCCTGCTTACTAAATATTGTCACATGTTTTTTCAGAATGTTGACAGCCAATGTGAATTAAAGAAACCCACGTAGTTTATTTTTATTCCTCTCATTTTGTTTGTTCCTGCAGGACTGGTCCAGACTGTGGATGGAGTCGGCACCAAACCTGTTGCTGTTTGGACTTTTCAGACCGAGGGACGTCAGCTTTCAGGAGACGGGTTGTCCTGGACATCAGCGTGGGGACAATGGTCAAGTATTACTGTAACAAGACGGACATCAGGAGTACGTGGGACAGTGTTGCCTCTGCTTTTTGGCAGAGGTACCCCAACCCCTTCAGGTACTAAAACGTCTCGTTTTGTCACCTTCTGGAAATGTTCCTGCTCTTTGGTCCAGTTTATGGTTCTAGACTGACACCATCTTCCAACACACTAAAATTAAATGATGTGATCCCGCTCTTTTTAAAAATAATACACGTGTCAGTTTGTGGTGACGTTCATCCATTAGATGCACAAACATGATATGTTGTTTATTTGTCCTATACAAGGTTAACACAAGGTCAACAGCGCAATGAAATGTTCAGGACGAGAAGAACCGATTCGACCCGCTAAAAACAAACAAGAAATACTAAAGCATGCAATAAAGGTACAAAATAAAGTACCAAAAAGTGAAAAAGAAATATATTTACAATGTCCAAAAGAAATATAGTAAACAACAGCATAGTAGAATATAACAGTGTAAGTAGGATGAATTAGTATAAATAAGTATTTCACATGTAGTAATATAAGCTTAAATCACATGATAAATATTGCACATAACTAACATAAACTACTCAGGTTGTGTGACAGGTTATTGCACAGGTAGTGAGTGACATTGAGATGAATTATGGTGATAAGGTAGTTACATACATGATACAGCTCCATCGTGCAGCAACACTAAACATATTAGTTGTCAGATTTGGCTTAGTGCAATGTTACTGTCATCAGTTCAGTAATCTGACAGCTTGTGGGTAAAAACTGTCCTTTAGTCTTTTTGTACGCGATGGCAGACTCCTGTATGGTCTGCCTGAGGGTAGTAGATGGAAGAGTCCTTGTGCTGGGTGGGTGTGGTCCTTAATGATGCTGCGTGCTTTACACAGACATCGGCTGTGGTAGATGTCCTGGATGTTGTGGAGACTGCTATCAGTGATGTCCTCTGCTGTTTGCATCACGCTCTGTAGTGCTTTCTGACTGGTGCAGTTCCCATACCACCCTGTGATGCAACCTGTCAGCAGCCTCTCAATGGTGCACCTTGTAAAGTTAGTGAGGATGCTGGTGTTCATACCAAACTTTTTTTTATCTTCTTAGGAAGTAAAGTCTTTGTGAGACTTTCTTGACCACAGTTTGTTTGTAAAGACCAGGACAGATCCTCAGTATTGTGAACGCTGAGGAAGTTGAAGCTGCTGACCTGCTCCACCTCAGCGTTGTTGATGTAGATGGTGGAGTGCTGACCTCCACTCTGTTTCCTGAAGTTCACTATCATCTCCTTCATTTTGCTGACATTATCAATGCCATCACCTGCTTAACTTTGTTATAGAAGTTTTTAAACTATGTTGGCCGTAGTTGGTTCAAATTTATTACAGATATTTTTGGTCCTGTGAAGGTGATGACTTTTGTTTTGTTTTACCCGACA